AAAGAAAAAGATAGGAAAATAAAGTGGTAACTTCATATTGTTATCTACTTCCTTCTGTACCAGGGGTTTACCGGTACGCGCCGGTTTTGCTAACATTAATATAGGTTGACTATGATTTTATAATCTAAAACGTTTTTCAACAATATTTTAGAGAAAAAAAAATATATGCATCAATCATATGGAAATATATTAATTTATTTGTAATCTCTGCATAGTTATTATTAAAAATAGTTTAAATATATGCATGACAGTTTGAGAGTGTGATAGCTGAACTGTTTATTATTTATTCTACAATTATTAATTCTAATGAGTTAGAAACATGTTTAGTTTTGGTATTAAATATAGTTCCATTTATACACACTCAGGCTTTCTCACTTGTGTTTCTCTAGTTTTATTCATTTTAATTTTATATTTTGTTAATTTTATTTTTATTTTAATAAATGTTTTTTTATATAATGTGTGAATCATTATTCCATAGTTCATATTATTTATTTTCATCACCTCTTTCAATTGAAACCTTTTATAGTAAAATATTTAATTTAGTTTTTTTGAGTCAAGTTAAAAAATTAAATGTTTGTTAAGATGGTTTACTATGGCTATGTTCTTTTTTTCCCTTTACATTTCGACGGATTAGATTTTAAATCTTTTTCATGTTTTTTTATTTATACTTTATATTTTTTTGTCAAATTGTTGTGTATTGCATCTCTTTAGTATAGACTGGAAAAATATATAATTTTTATTATTATATCAATTTTGAATTTATCTTTGAATTTTGTATGCGCTCAGTACATTAGTTTTTTGCAAAGATTTAGAGTATAATAATTCCCTTTGTGTTTTTTTGTTATTTACTGGTTTATGTATTATATCATATTATAAATTTTTTTCATAACTATGTCTTTTTGATATATTTGTTTTGATTATGAATTAATGTTTGTTTGTGGTTGTCAATCATTTTATTGATAATTTTTTAAATTTATGAAACAAAACAAAAACAATAGCATAAATAGTTTTTCCTCCTTTTTATTATTACTAAAAAAATTATATAATATTGGCAGTTTTATATTATTGAATATATATGTATTCACTGAATTATTATTTGCTGACTAATTCTGGTTTTAGAAATCTGTTGACTAATTCTCATAACCTTTTTGTTCCTCAAAATCATAATCAACTCAATATATATCAGTATTTGTTGCAAATTAAATATTAAGTTACAGTTATAGTGCTCTCACTTAAATATAATTATTGTTGTATATAAACAAGGTTGAATTCCTGGTTTTGTCCATCCTTATGTCACATGATTCACATATAATGCGGAAAACTATACATTGTATAATACTTTTGATTAGAATACATAACTTTATTTTTTAACAAAACAAAAAGGTATATAACTTTTAAAAAGAAAACATGTGTAAATGTAAGCTCACGTTTATGTAGATGTAACTTTATATTTATTGAATATTGTATTACCAGTTACGTTAAATTATGTAGATGTTTTATAATTGGTTAAAGTTCTATATTAGATAATATTTTTTTAACAAATAACCACTTTCTTAAAATGGTTGCTTTTAACTAAAATTACCTACATTAAAACATAATATATTTTTCTCTATTGTATACTTTCTTAAGTGTAACTATGAGGTTGTGTCCACCTTCGGGAATTTTTTTATATTTCTGGTGTGTTTAATAAACAGCACATAACCACAAGTTCCCATAACAGCTTCTGTATCCAGTTAAACCTCTAGACATGTTCAAAGCCAGTGAATTAACCGAAACATGAAACATTAAATACTTTAAAGTTAAGCTTAGAAGAGTCAGATTTAGACATAATAAAGAGTCAGCGAACGTCAAAAACATAAAAATCCAAAATGCCTACAAATTAAGCATTAGAAATAACAGGTAGATTAAAGTCATTGAATATATTTGCTTTCATAATTCTCTTCATTTTGCATTTTCTTCTTCTTTCTTATCCATACCTTCTACTGCAACCTCATCCTCCAAATCACTTGTTCTTTTCAAAACCTCAACATTCAGAGGTATCTTTTAATCACAACTGATTCAAACATCTCTTAGGCATAACTCATAAGCAAGTGAAATTATTATTATCTTGTGCAGGTTTTTGACATTTCACCGCTACCAATCTTGATCAGTTTTTAACCTTCTCTAACTTTATTGTTTTTTTTGTCTCGACGCTTGCCCCTAAACTTTTCATTGTCTAACTAAGAGCACTTGAAGAAGTGTGTATAGCTTCATCTTCATCCATGAAACAAACCTTTTGGAAGAACCAGACATTGTTTGAATCCGCAAGAAGTACCCATACCCTTCCTCTTTGTGGTAAGGAGAGTGAAGAACAACGCCTAAAATCAACTGGAAAGTTTCAGAGTGATCCACACTTGAACTACCACCTTCTGTTTTACATGTGACTCTTACTTTTAAAGAAGGTGTCATTTATAAACACCTTCTCGATGTCTACAATATTGCTCTCCGAGAAACCAGAAACCTCACAGAGGAGTTAGGACGTTCTTCCAAGTGAAGCTCTTGAAATTCTCAAAATGATCTACCCTGCAACACTATCTTTTACACGTTTAATTATTGAAATGAGGGAGTTGCAAGAAAGAAGCGGTGTCTTCTGAAGTTGAATTCCTTGCTGTAAGAGGATCCTACAATGAAAAGAAAACATTAATAAACCTGAAAATTTTAGACATTTTCGGAAAAAGTTAACTTGAAAAAATTCTTGATACCTTAACAATGCACTCATTAAATCTAGAAGCTTCATACCCTTGCCAACACTGCTCTGTTTGCAAGTACCTATGATCAATATCGTTTAAATAGTCACATATGTATATTGGTCTATCTGAAGCTGATATCAAGAACCTCCATGGCTTGCTCTGGTTTCCCATTATCGCAAAGAGAGCACAAGATAGTATTGTAAGTGACAACATCAGAAGAAACAATCATTATATCAAGAAGTTATGACATTAGGATGAAAGAAACAACACCAGAAAACTCGAGGAACCCAAATCTTGTTGACCTGGCTAGTCCTGAAAACAATTAATCTGTGAAAAAAAACATTTCCTACAATATTATAGGAAAATTCTTACCACGACTAAAACCATGCTAACCCATTAATCAATCACCGATATAGAATCTGTTAGCAATCCATCACCTACATTTCCTAGAGTTCAGTTCCGATCTGAATGTATAAGCAATTAAATTGAAAATAAGGATTGACGCTTTACTTTTTCTGTGGTTGTGTTGCAATGCATATTAAGTTGGGAAGAAGATAATCTCTAGGCCAAAGTGATTTGTTCTACCTTGCAATTTTTGAAGTTGTTCACCCTCTCTAAGTCAATTCCTTCCTAAGACTTGCTGTTAATTTCTCAAAACATTATAAGCTATAACAACAGACTTTCATAAAATGATCAGAGAAGAAGGTTAAAAACAAAACCTCAAAGACAAATTGTTTGAAGAATTCACGTTTGTTTCTTTTTGAAGAGCCTGCATCAGATTTCATAAAGTAGTCAGAGTAGGATGAAATCAAAACCTGAAAATGAATCATTGATCAACCCAGACTTTAGGCACTGCTGCTTCCAATCAACAGATTCTTAAGCGGTATTAGGGATTGAAAGTGGGGCCCAAAAAATCATAATACGGAGCCTTCTTAGATCTGCAGCAAGAAAATTCTTAATGTATATCAAACCAATAAAAGTTGCAGATGATGAGAGATGAGGAATAAAGAGTTACTTATGTTTTGATACAGACATGAAGACCTGATTTAAAGCTTGAGTTAATAGAATATCATGAACAGATGGAAGCTTGATCGTCTACCATCTCGGAGAAAGTAGAATCGTAGTCGAGATAAGTGCATAAGAAATTTTATGGAGACTTTAGAGACCTTTCACGAAATAATTAAATAATGTGTTGCGAGGTGTCTTTTTTTCTCCCAAAGAGAGAAAAAAAAACTCAACTTTATTATTAAAGATATAGTAGAACATTATATTCGATAACTCAATAATCTCTATAAATTAATAAATCTCATCATTCCTAATTTGGGCCAGTGTAAAATATGACAAAAATTGATAAAATAAAAATATAATATTTGTTTAGAAAAGTCTATGTAAATATATAGTCCATTTAAAATTATAATAACAATTTCTATGTATACATGTTTTATAAGTAAGAACTTATCATTATATTATTTGTTTTATATTCACAATAAAAAAATTTATATTTTCTTAACACTTAATATAATTTTGACGAGATTTAGTAATATTATATCTAAAACCACATTTAAATTCTATATATTATATATTATATACACCAAGTAATATAATAAAATTATAAATGTCAAATTTCAAACAAAAATTAATTAATGCCTATGTGCTAAAATCAAATATTTTTCTATCTTATAATAAATATATCTTAAAATAAGAAATCTAAATAAGAAAAATTTTGTAAATTAATATTTATATAAATTGATAATATTTCAAAATTTCAGCATTATTAAATTATAGAGGTTCTAGTTGTATGTGTGTCTCTTTATTTCACGGTTAATTAGGTATCTGAAAAATGTTAAGACAGAGTATATTTGTCTCTTTATTTCAGTGTCTGGAGATTTTTTTTTTTTTTTTTGTCTAATTAAACGTTTCTTCTAAAGTTGTGGCCGGGTAAAAGTAGAGATCATCTCCGTCTCCATGAGACTTGACTCGTAAGGCAAGAACATAGCTAAAGAATAAAAACAGAGTAGTGGAACAACCAACGTCAATCATTTATCCACACGTATGCACACATTATAGAAAAAAAACTGAACTGGATCATTCATTTTAAATGACTAGGGGTAGAGAATGTTTTTTTTTCAGTCGCAATCAACCTTACATGTATTTGATGTGCCCTGGGTGAGAATGCTAACGTCTTAATCATCACAAGTTGCTCTTCATGATCATCTGTCTCAGTGATGATTTTCACTGTTTTTAGTCAAGGTTTAGCTCACGAACACCGGGACTAACGCGGTTCTATTGCATATCTCAGTTCCCTATGCAATAACAAAAACTTGTTAACGAACTTTGAATCACTTCCAACATTCAAGATGGAAGCCATATTTAGGAACCAGCGTCCATATTTTCATGTGTATGCTTTAAAAGTATACAAGGTTTATTATGGACTTCCAACTCATTAACACTTCCCATCACGCTCATGCGTGGACAACTGTGGGAACAACATCCACGGAGTGATCCAACATCGGGTGGCTCTGATACCATGTTAACTTTGAGTTTATTATGGACTTCCAACTTAAAACCAATTGGTGATAAGTGGATTGGCCCTAACCCTTTATATATTACTTAATTACTTCTCCAACTACCGATGTGGGACTTAGTTTTATTCATTAACAAAAAACATCAAAAACAATAATAAGCATATAAAAAATATAAAAAAAAAATTAAAAAAAACAATAATAAGCATATCTGAGATTCCGAACAAAAGAAACCAACGAGATGTGATTGAACTTGTGATCATGTCTCATGTCTGACTGTTTAGCTTTAGACGAATGCAAGTTGGCAGGTGAACATCTAAAGCATCTTCAGTGTCTAGTCGGAGACGGTGGTTTCTGAGGAGATATTTACCTTCTTAAAATGAATACTGCTACTTGTTTCTCTTCTTTGGTTCCTTCATAGTCTACCCATTCAAAAGTTTCAAGACTCGATGACAGACATTCAGGAACTGAACTGGGTTCATTCCAACAGGAGCGCTGTGCTTGATCCCGAATGCAATATAGCTGGGATGAATTGGAAGGACAGATACAAAGCATTATAGACCTTTAGTTTGAGGATGAAGCGTACATATAGACCTTTAGTTTGAGGGCTTTTAAATTGGGGGAATCTCTGAGTATACACATAAGTAGATTGATCCATTCTATATCAGATGTGCATATTGTTAAATGCACTAGACGGTCGAAGACAGTACCAACAGGATATGCGTCCTGCCATACAAAAAAAAAAAAGTAAGCATACATGTTTCCAATGATGGAAAACTACATATTTTTAGTCCAAGTCAAGAAGATACTTACCTTTGAGTATGGTAAACATAAAAATGAGGCGCTTCACTGAAATGGTAGCGCTTAGAATTTCCTTAGGAGAATGATTAACGACAACATATGCTTTAACAATATTAGCCATATTATTCTCAATGGTACAAAACCCGCCTGACCTAGTACAAACATTCAACAGCTCCAAAGAAGGAGCATCTATCACAAATCCATCGTCATCATCAATATGTCTGTCTGATGATTTAGACAAAGAAGCACTCTTAAGAGAAGGAACCTTAACTGTGAAAATGGAAACATTGTCATCTAGACATTGCTCCACATCCAAATCTTCAAGAACATGACACTTGAATAAAAGCCTCTTGACAAACTCATGTACTTCACAGATGAAAGGCTCATCGTTTTGAGGGTCGAGAAAGAAGGTAAAGAAGAAGCATCCGTAAGAGTCACACTCGTTAAAATTCAAGGTCACAAGCATTCCAAAGCATGTGTATAAACTCGTTGGGAGTGTAACAGAAGTTGTACTAGAGTTTGAGTAAGTTCGAAATGCAAAGTTTCTATTGGGGCCTCGTGCGGAATCAAAGACCGGTCAAATAAGTGCGAAAACATTCTAATATCGATATTTTGATAGCGATCGTCCGTCTGCGAACACAAGTTTTGGCACTGACGTCGAAAGAGGCAGCTAACGTTTTGACAAAACTATAATGGCCACAAGGCCTACAACGTCAATAGCAGTGGCAGTTTTGACAGTCTTCTCAAGAGAAGATCTTCAGGAAATTGACTTATCCTATCCATGATTTAGCTGTCAAAGCAAGAAGCCCCAAACCAGACACGAAAGCCTGAAACATTGAAAATAAAAAACGCATTTTTTTCTCATGAACCAAACAAATAACTAATACGAAACGACACAAGGTCGAAGCAAACCCTAGCTTGGTACACAAACCACAAAGGTTAAAGAGAAGAAAACAAAACCAAACTCATCTACAGCTAAAAGCTTCAGATTATTTAAAAACTCAACTATGAAATCAAACAAGTGATTCATAGAATAAGAAAAATACCTAGAAAGTGGAAACCCCTCCGGTTACACCTTTTCCTCTTGAAAACATTGTTTGATCCTTCTTTTTCTTCAGTAATGTGGCATAGTTGTATAAAGATTTTTATTTTGAGTTCTTAGCATTATTAATCAACTGTGTAGGATGTTAACCCATACACATTTCTGTATTTTTCTTTAAAAATCAGAAATTTTATCATAGATATATAATTTTGTTCTAATGTTTATCTATGTAATAAATAAATATTAAATATATACATTTAATATAATATTCATCGATATAATAGAATTATTCGAAAAGAATTATGAAGATGAGTTGGAAATGCTCATAAGCAAACAAACTTTGAGTGTCACTCTAAAATATAAAGAACAGAAAATGATGATCACAAACATATAATAATATTCTAGAAAATATCTTATAGATATTTACATAGAATATTTCTAAAAATTATTATCTTATTATTTTATCGATTGTGTCATATTTTGAATCGACACAGTTTAAGACCAGAGAAATTATTAATTTATAATATATTTGTTTAGAAAATATTAATTTATAAATTTTCTAATGTATATATGTGTAATAAATAAATATTAAATACATACAGTTAAAGTAATGTTTATTTCTATAATAGAGTTAGTCGAATACAATAACGGGGAGGACTTGAATAGAAATGAATGATCATATGATCACAAAGATATATAATAATATTCTAGAAAATATAATATAGTTGTATATACAGTAAAAACCATAAATTAATACTTCCTAAACAAAAAAAAAACACTATAAATTAATAATTTTTTCGGTCCTCAGCTCGACCAGTTTAAAATATGGCACAAATGGATAAAATAATAAAATAATATTTTTTAGAAAATATTTTATAAATAATCTAATTCTCTCAAATAGAAATTTTTAAATTTTTATCACAAAAATAGATCTCAAAAACTAAAATGACCAAAATAACATTTTTTTATTTGAAAATTTTAAGTTTTTTTTTTTAAAATTTGAAATCTTATCCCCAAAATTTCACTCTTCAACTCTAAAGAAAGATCTAAGATTAGTTAACCCAAAGGATATAAGTGTATATTTACTTATTTTTGATAAAACAGTTAAGTCTATTTTGGTCGTTTTTATTTTTAAGGTATATATTTGTGACAAAAACTTTTTTAGGTCTATCATAAGGAATTTCTCAATATATAATCCCGTTAAAATTATAAATTAATAACTTATATGTATATAGAATTTATATATTACAAATAGACCATTATATAGTTTGTTCTATATATATTCATAATGAAATCATTTTTATATTTTTAACACTATTTAATATATTTGATGGGATTTATTATATTTATATCTGAAACCATATTTAAATTCTATAAAAGATATTTTATATACACATAATATAATAAAATCAATATAAATAATGAATTTCAAAAACTTAATTGATTTATATATGATAAAATTAAATACATTTCATATTTTAGAAAAATATGTATTTTAAAATTGAAAATCTAAAAAATAAAGTGTTTATAAATTAATAATTTATAAATTTATAAAATATTATAATATCAACATTATTAATTTATAGTGTTTTTACTGTTTTAATGTTCCATGTTTGTTGATTTCATACTCGTCTATGCATAAAATATCATGAAGGTAACAATTAATATTTCCGGTTTGTTGATTTCTTCATGGTACATCTGAATAAACGAATAATATGACATGTCATGTATTAGAGACGGAATATGTTTGAATGTTGGGAAATCTACAAGCAGTAAGATGTGAGACAATTTGTTCTCTGCTTTTCTTTTTATCCACTGAACAGATAATTGAAGAGAGAATTTGCTGAATAACTAAATTGCAAAGAGAAATTAAGTATATGATAATGATTTTGACATGATGAAAAATAATATTTATGTTTGAGTTGATCTAATTACAGTGGCACAGATTTAGAATTATTATTAATCAGGGCACTTTAATAACTAACTAAAAATTCAAAGTTGACAAAGAAACCCAAAAATTTCTTATAAGTTTATCTTACAAGATTCTATATTCTAAAAACTTTTCGGTATTTCTTCATTTGTTACTTTCTCAAATAATTATTTTTCAACAAAACAAACAACACAATCATTTATAAACTGATCATTTATCCGGTTCCGCAAGTTAGTCTTCACAATCTTTATCACTGAAAACATCTTTCAACTGTAGCGGTGGCCACATGTAAAGTCAAAACTAGTTTCAAAAGACGATATATCTGAGGATGTGAAAGATGTTTCTTTGTATTCACCATCATGTATGAAAGATCTTCAAGATTCTTCAAATTAGAAAATCTTTCATCTTCCATAGTTGATGCTAAAGAGTAATCCGCTCTAAAAGACCAAGATCTTCAAGATAATACTCAGACAATCTCATAACTTTTAAATGATCAAACTCTTGAAATGATAGGGCTCAAAAAAACAATGCAGCAAAGTAATTATGTGTTTACCTCATCAAAATGATCAATAAACTCTTAAATCTGCATATTCAATACAGCATAAAAACACTCTACCTTGTAATGGTGCAAGTTGCTTATATTGCTTCTTTTCCTTGAGTTCTTTGAATCAAATTCATCATCCATAACCAGGAATCCAATCTTGTAGTTCTCACAAAAGGAAGAAACTTTATAGATTCCCATCCATCATCTCTGATCTTGTACAATTGTTGTTTGGTAGATTTCACAAGTTACATAACATTCAGAATGTCTTGATCTTTCCTTTTGAGAACCTTTGACAAGCTGTTTGTGATCCCAACAATAAGCAACATCAACTGTAAGTAAAACACAAAATCAAAGGTGTGGAAGTACTTGAGAAGACCATTAGCTTGGCGTCGTTTGACACCATCACTTCCATCGATTTCAACATACTTAAGCACTTTAATGATATAAGCGAACAAATCAACCAACCGCAGCAATGTCTTATAATGAGAACCCCAACGAGTTTTACTTGGTCTTTGAAACGAAACCTCTTGGTTCAGTCTCTTTCCAGTCTTAATTTCTTCTTTCTTAGTTATTTCCTCAACTTTGTTTCGCTAATCTTCTCGGACCATATATTTCCTCTTACAAGAAGCTCCAACAACATTTAACATGACATCAATCTTATCAAAGAAATCTCCAACTTCAGAATGTTTCTGAGCAACTGCAATGACAACTAACTGAAGTAGAAGAGCAAAACAATGGATATAATATGCAGAACTGCATTCTCTAAGAATTAGAGCTCTCAGCCCATTGAATTCACTCTTAATATCACTCGCTCCATCGTAACCTGGTCCTCTTAACTTCGTCATACTCAACCCATGTTTAGCAAACAATGAATCAACATCACTCTTCAGAGTTAAATAAGATGTTTCTTTCACATGAGCCAAACCAAGAAACCTTTCTTTAACTATCTCATGTGTATCAACAAAGCAGAAAACCATTGTCATTTACTCTTTATCAGAAACATCTGCAGATTCATCCACCAACAAACAAAATACATTATGACCAACTTCTTTAATAATAGATTCAATAACGTCTTTTGAAAAGTAATGAACTATATTTGTCTGGATTTTGTGAGACACCATCCGGTTGTTTTGAGGGCATTCTGTAACACAACTTTACTACAAAGCTCACTTTGTTCTGCAGTATATTTCACAAGCTCCAAAACATTTCTCTTGTTAAGTGAATCCACTAATTCATCATGACCTCGAAATAGGAGTCCTTGTCTTAACAAATACCTACAAGCATCGACTGAAGCATTCAATCTGATCTTGTATTCATTTTTCATCGCATCATTATGCTTATAAAAAGCATGGACAATTGATTGTCTTGGTTTCATCAGATAATCAGCCATTTTCAATGCACTATTGTGAAACTATTCATTGCTCCTAGATTTTCATGTTATCTCTCTGTCTTGTTCCAGTCATCAATGCCCTTAGTCATAAATGTATCACTTCCACATTTGTTTCCAGTGTAGTCTCTAAACAAGTAACAGAACAAGCAAAAACTTTATCATTTTTCACATTATATTCTAACCAACGCCATAGAGATCAAACTAAGTGGGATTGAATCGTGTCAGATTACTTTAAAATAATATTTTGGGAAATTCATAACCACAAGGCTGACAAGAACCTTTCATAAGATACTTGCGTCTTACCTCGTCTCTTTTATTTGAAGGATATTCAGTTATCTTCTTTCTATCTCCCAAATCATTAGGTAAATTCTCTAAATCAATTTCAAAATCTTTTTTTTTTGGAGAAGGCAAATTATCCTCAGAGATTTCAGATGTAGATATAAATTTTCTTTTTAGTGTGAAATATTTTTCCATTGAAATTTTTTCTCTCAAAAAATAAAAATAAACTAGCATAGTACTATAGTTTTTTGCTCTTCACAATTCTTATTACTCAAATAACA